CCTGTGGGATATTAATAGAAACACGCCTGCTCAGTAATGATTTTCTGTTTGAGACCTATCAGTTAGCCAGTTTTTAAATCTATTTATTATGTATCATGTTGACTTTGTATTGTTCTAGTTTCTTAATCAAAATGTAGTTGGGTGACTAGTCAAATGCCATACAGAAGTCCAAGCCTATTACACCAACACTACCACCTTCATCAACCAGATCTGTAATATAAAGGAAAAGGATATCAACATAAACCCATGTTGATTGGCATGAATTGTTTTACCCTCTTATTTCTTTATTAATCAAGTCCAGTATCAGCTGTTCCATTATCTTACCTGGAATCAAAGTCAGGCTGACACTTACTTGAGTCATCCCTTTTTAAATACTGGCACATCACTGGCTTAACTTCCAGTCCTCTGGAACTTCCTCAGTGTTCCAAGACCTACTAAAAATCAACATTAATTGTCCAGAGTGCTCCTTGCCCAGCTATTTTAAAACACCTGCATACAGGCAGGGCCGGCTCTGGCTTTTTTGCCGCCCCAAGCAAAAAATGCCAGCCGGCCGGAGCAGTAAAGGGGAGGAGGAAAACAAACCTGTCCCCGGGCCGGAGCGACAAAGGGGCGGGGAGAGAACAAACCGGCCGGCCAGAGCAGCGGGGCGGGGTGTGGGGGGGACAAGCCAGCCGGCCGGAGCGGCGAAGGGGGGGGGGGGGAGGAAGGCCGCCGGCCGGAGCAGCGAAGGGGGGGGGGGAACAAACTGGCTGGCCGGCCGGAGCGGCGAAGGAAAGAAAAAACAAAAACAAAAAAAATACCTGCGGGGCGGCGGGAGCGTGGGTGCAGGGGGACTCCCGGCCCTGCAGACCCCGGGCAGCGAAGTGCGCACCCCGGCTAGCGGGGGGGGAGAATGAGAAGGGGGGCGGCCAGGGCTTCCTTAAGCGGGGTGCTTGCCATGCGGCCACTCCAGCTGCGCCGCCTGCCGGGAGGGCTCCTCGCCGCTCCGGTCGGCAGGCAGGGAAGGACGCGGGTTGCCCTGCCGGTCTTGCTGCAGGGCGCTCCCCTCCTCCGCCCTCTACAGGGTGGCGGGAGCAGCAAATCAAAAAGAAAAAACCTGCAGGGGCGGCCAAAGCGGTGAAGCGCAAAACAAAACAAAACAAAAAAGGATTAGATGGAATGCCACCCCTTGGAATCTGCCGCCCCAAGCACGAGCTTGCTCGGCTGGTGCCTGGAGCCGGCCCTGCATACAGGTTATCTGGATCTCCTGATTTAAAGAAATCTAACTTTAGTTGCTGCTGTTTAACATTCTCCTTAGTTACTGGTGGAATGGAAAATAGTTGAGCATTAAATGATATGAATACATCATCTCGCTTTTGCCCAAACACAGAACAGAAATATTTATTGGACATTTCTGCCTCTCTCTACTATTGACAATTCTACTATTTCCATTTAGAAATGGACTAATACCTTTGGTAGCGTTCCTTTTGTTCCTGATGTACTTCAGAATACTCCTTCTTATTTTCCTTAACGCTGCTGGCCACAGATTTCTCCTTGTATTCTTTTGCTCCCTTGTCAGCTTCTACAATTACACGTAATTCTGCCAGCACTATGATTTATTATTTCTCCCGCATTCTTAGGATCATTAGCCTGGAAAACACATCTATTTCAAGGGCTAATAATAATACACTTGCATGGTGTCTTTCATTTCAGTATTTCAAAGCACTTTATAAAATATGAATGAATTTAAACCTCAACACTTGTGTGCGATAATAGGTATCCTCATTTTACGGGCAAAGAGGATCAGAGAGTTTAAAATTACTTGTCCAATCTCCCACAGGAAATCTACGCAGAGCCAAGATTAGAACCTAGAACTGCTGACTCTGAGTCATGTGCTGAGGCCATGCTAACACAAATGGCTGGGTGGCTGGGTACACAGGTTTAAGGCAAATGGCCCTAAAGACGCTGTGGGCTGAAATATTAGCCTTTTACCCTCTAAAACTGGGTTCAGATGTGGATTACTTATAGGTGAAATAAAGTCTCAAACCACGTCCACAGTGAGTGGGTTTTTCTGCTCTTAAGAAAACAGGATATGGATAGCAGGGAGTGCTGTAGAACAGGACTGGGAGATACGGACAGTTCTGGGGGCCCAATGTATGAACACGGTAGGTCAGGACTGAGGTGCATCAGCAGAGCGGAGAGAGAGCCTCTCCTGTATTCTGGCGGTATTCTCGGCTTGACTTTCCTGAGCTTTACATTTATCTTTTTTTTTTTTTAAAAAAGCCTCTCTGCCCTCAAAAGTGAAAACAGCGAAATTCTTCTGCAAAGGGGAATTGGGCAAGAAAACCAACGATGTTCACCACAGAGAACCCGTAAACAAACACTCAGGACACATCCGACTGGTGTTTCTCTCTTTTATTTAAAAACAGTGCTTCATTACCATTTGCAAAGGGTGAGGAAGGGCTCCTCCCTTGCTTAGAGTTTATAAAAGCCAGCAACATGATCAATAATTTATACACATGGATAGTAATACAAAAAAAAGGAATAAAAGCTAAAGATCTAACTATTCCGACCTTCACAATTCCAGCTACTTGATAATAATAGGAGTAACCCAATGAATACTGTATGGTCTGAAAGCTACTATACAATATGATACTTAATGAGGGGGGGCAGGAAGTTAGAGACGGTCACAAAGCCCTGGGATGCAGGTACTGCTTCTCCAGAGTCAGCAGAGAAATGGGACCCTGAACAAGCAGCTTGGGCGTCCTAGGAAATGACCCAGGGGAGAGGAAAGCATCCAATTGTGATGCATCCTATGCCCCGAGGGTACCTGGCAATGGAAAGGTGGTGGGGAGACTGCATGAAGGGGCGAAGTCAGTCGTTGCCACTGGAGGTTCCGTGGAATTTTAGCCTTGCATTGAAAAGCTCCAAGTCTCAGGCAGATCAGCCCGTGAGGTCAGTAAACTCTCCACCAGCTCCATATCGCTCTACAGCCCTGGTTCTCGTTTGCTATCGGCCCCAGGTTTTTTTTTTGCTCCAGCTATTTACAAGCAGAATTGATAACATAAAAAGAAAAACAAATCATATCCCCTGGGGTAAAAGAGGATTACTTCGTCACTTGAGAACGCAGCCAAACCCAGCTGCCAAAACTACAACACACGCGCGCACACAAAAAATACTGTCAAGAGAAAAATAGAAGAAAGTGACTGAAGCTGAGACTATTTATGTGGGAGGCCAGATTCCCTTAACGAGATCACTCCTCAGGGAAGCAACAAACTGACCCCCTCTCACCCCCCCCAAAAAAAATCTGGCAAAAGAGAGACTTATTGACCAGCTTTAGAATCAATCCTTAAATTACTGGCACTTTGCAGATTGCCAGCCAAATGAATACTCAGGTGGACGGTTTTACACATCAGCAATTTCCTTAAAGGCAAGGTTCTGGCTGATGTATTCTTACTCTGCTACCAGTCTTTGCCGGCTGGCTGCACTGGCACTGACCTTAGTTGTCATCTTCCTGTGTAAGCTTTCACCGGTTGCTGCCAGAAACATGGGTAGGACAACAACTGCAGGTGGTTACAACACTTCTGGAATGTCCCCCTCCACTGTTAGTGGTGGCAACCAATTCTGGCCTTGGACGTCTTAGTTCAATTTGCTTTGTAACCTGTGTGTGTTCTGGGGAGGGGTGTTACATTGCATACTGCAAGCTACAGGAAGGACTCCACCCTGGAGGACGCCCAAATCCTACTTGGAAAGGGCCCCATTTCACACTCTGGCTATCACATTCCTGCATGCCTTGTCGACTGGTGATTTCATTATAGAATAAAATAAGTTGGAGGGGGGGAAGGGGAGATCAGTAGGGTGGGGACAAGGAGGGAGGAGCTTTTCAGACAGTAACATCACCAAAAAATAGTGTTTTATGCAACAAAGAATCAAGTCTCACTGGTGTATACTACAAAATGTTTGACATTTTCAAGAGCATGACAAAATAAAAACACACCGAAGTTTACATTGGATGTTCACCTTGTTCACTAGTTTGTTTTTTTCTCCTATTTTAAAACAGTGCAAACAAGTAACACACTCTTTAAAAACCACTTCCCCCTCCGCCAAGGCATGGACTCCTCAGACGCGGCCATACTAGAGGGGCGCAAGCAGCAAGTTATTCTCCAAGCTGCTCGTGTGGTTTCCCTTTGGAGCTGGACTCAGCAAAAGAAGAGTTCCCCAGAGCCAATATTTTTTTCCCTTCTTGAATTCCTAAGTGCTCCCCACACCTATTCTCTACTTGTCTTCTCCTTGGGGACTGGGGGAGAAGGGGGATATATGAAGATTTGCAAAGCCCCTAAGGTGCCTACATAGCAGAGCTCAAAAAACCACAATAGCCAGGACCTCATTTAAGAATGATTCTCACCAGAAAGCTGCTAGGCTATGAAACAGTTTTATAAACATTTTATACCAGTTAGGCCCTACCTATACTGGGGTTTCAGACATTACTTAGATCTCATATAGAACTTTTCATCCATGGTTTCAAAGGGCTTCACAAAAGGAGGATAAAGTATCACTATCCCCGCTTTGTGGATAGGGAAAACTGAAGCACAGGGAGGTGAACTGACCTGTCCAAGGTCACACTGCAGAATCATCGGTAGAGACTAGACTAGACTTGACCAGAACCCAGGTCTTCCACTCCCAGCCTAGTGCGCCATCCCACTGGACCACACTACTGCCCCCATAGCAGTGGGCTACCTAAGAATATAATTTAAAAGCATGGCTTTGGCTAGCATGGTTGAACTCTACTGTAGACAGGACCTCCATGACTGCCTGCCCTACAAATGGCTGGTTATAAGAAGTTGGTACACTAAGGGCTTGTCTACACACAAAAGTTGTACTGCTTTACCTATGCCAGTGTAGTTAAAGTCACACAACACCCCTAGTGTGGACACAATTATATATATGTGTGCCTTATACTGATATAGCTTATTCCCATGTGGAAAGGGGAATAAGCTATGCTGGTATAATGCACCTTTATACCAATATAACAGCACTCACATTAGATTGTACCAGTATAACAATATCATTAAAATCACCCCTCTAACCAAAGTAGTTATACTGGTACAAACACTGGGGGGCAGACCAGACCTAAGTGGTTAAGGATCTGAGCCAAGTCCTGTGTGAGAGAAACTCTTGAACACTGATCATTACAGGGCAAAAGTACTAGATGTTCTCAGTGACAAAAGCCTGCCCCATTTCTACCCCCATTCTCCTCATGCCTGTAAAAAGCCTGAGTATAATAGATTCTGCATAGGGAGATACAGGCCTTCCTCAATCTTTGGGACAATGGATACTTCAAAGATTGATACAGTCAAGGCTTGGCTAATCTGAATGGAAATAGGTCCTTCGTATCATGAGCCAATTCATTAAATATCATCTGTGGAATCAGAGTCATTGTGTTTGCCAAGTGGGATGGAGGAAGGGATGAAGGGCTCTTGCTTGCCATGGCACAGAATTCATAGGCGCAACCCTGCTGCAAAAATCCAGCTGTGGTAAAAGCTGTCTGGGAGGTCTTGGTTTTGGAAAGTATCACCTGGACTGTATGGATGGTAAATGTCTAAAATTACAGAACCAACTCCTGTAGTCAGCAGGGCAAAGGGCTTAGTTTCCCCCCAGCCCAGTCACCACGGAGTAGGAATTAGGGAAACCCAGGTGCTAATACACTGAGGGGCCTTGAACAGTGATGATTAATAGATCAGGGCAGCCCCCACTGATGCATTAGGAACCTGGCCTTTGTGGATCAGAAGTTGGTGACAGTAGGTGCTAAAGCATTAGGTGACCCACCCTCTGCAAAACCCAGGCACTTATGTGACAAGAACCCAGATTTTGAGCACTAAGCAGGGTTATATTTGCCAAGCACAGACCCTACTTAAAAGCAGAAGTGTGTTCAGCCTTCCCTACAGATGGAGAGGAAAGGGGGCAACCAACCACATGCTGCGCTGCCATGGTGCAGGAGGGCTCTTGAGAAAGTGGAGCTTGACTTTTCAGAAGCTACAGTCAGAACCAGCTGAACTGAGACACATGAAAGGGGCCGAAGCTCAAGCTGCTGTCATTGCAGTGCTAAGCAAGCTGTGTCCCCTCGCCCTCGCCCTCTCTCACTCTGCGGCCCCACAGCATCAGCAATTTCTCCTTCCTGAGAGTAAGAAAAGAGACATCCTGTTTTCACTCCCCCCACCACCCTAGGTGTGGCTATGATGAACTCCGTTTGAGGCTTTTGCTGCGTCTCAGCTCCAGAAAGGAGTCTCCCACCCCCATCTGCCACATGATGGAAATTGGCTTCCCGTCAATATGACACTAGAAGTTCTACTGGAAAAAATTTTCCCCCACTCAACCAGTAAAAGCCAAAAATCCCACCGTCCCCTCATTTCCTTGATTTTGTGAAAGCCCCAACACCCCACTCCCCCCACCCCGTTTTCAATCTAACTAAAATATTTATATACAAACAACAAAAATTGTCATAACTGCAACAAACCAAACTTTGGCTTGAAAAAAAACCAAAAACAACAAACAAAAACGAAAAAAGTGGCCAACAGGCTGGCAGTTTGGTGTCCCCTTGTTCTAGCTATTCTTCCACAGAATCAATAGCTTTAGGGTCTCTAGCTTAACTCATGTCTCCCCGATCCTTCCCACTTCAGGCACCTCCTCCCTGCCAGGCACAGGGAGGACGTGTGCTATGGGGAAGAGCAAAGATGTGTGTTGTGCATGGCTGGGTCAGTGCACCTCCCAGACAGCCCTGCTCACTTACAATGCTTAAAGTTCAATGCATCTGGTTTCCTATTCTGATATCAACTGTTGACAGAGAAGCAAGTGTATGGTGGCAGGAGTTGAAAGGCTCTAGCTACAAATCCACACCCCACACTGCCCTTCAGGGAGTGAAAAGTCACCCCCGGACCAATTCAGCTAGACAAGGGAGCCAAATGGAATTGTGCTTCTCTCTCTGTTTCTCTAGTGTCTAGGGTTAGATAAAGCGTCAGAGAATCTGCCTTTGATTGCAAGAGTTGCTGGGAGCATAGCAATAACTAACAACTGGAGGGGAGACAATTCCTCTGAGTTCTAAAATCAGCTGTTGAGAGCAACGACTCCCTGCCACAGTGCTACTCCTTGCAGCAACCTATAAAATGCCTGCTTTTTAAAATAGAAGAATCACTCTAGTTACAAGAGCAGAAGGAAGATGGCCTTGGGAGCCATGGAGCCCTTCTAAATAGTCTTTCTGCTTTAGAATCTTACAGTCTGTAGTGTAAATGTGGACTGAGCAGTCCAGGTGCTCTTTGCAGGATACTGAGAGGCTGGGTGAATGGCGACTGGGGCTCTAGATTAAATATTTAAGGGCCTCAACTAGATCTAGGAGATGGGAGGTTCCTATGACTTCAGAGCTTGTACAAACGGCTTCTGCCTACCGCCAGACATCTGAGCTATCCAAAATCACTTCAGGAACAGCGTTCTGAAATAAAACACACTCTCTTCCCCTCACACACACTCCCGTCCCCCTGCAGCTGATCCATGACTCATTTATTGTCTTCACACTACTTTAATGATTTATTTGCAGCAATGCCTACGTGGCTCATGGTGAATAGAGAGAGGGACCTTGAATGCTGAACCTCAGAGCAGCTCAGTGTGGCACCGATGCAGGGTTCTTCCGCCAGCTTTCTTCCCCATAAAGCTGCAAACACTCGATAAATCTAACCACTCCTTGATGTCCGAGACACAAGCACTCTCAACCATTGCCTCAAGCTCTGCCGTTACTGCCCACGTTTGCAGCATCACACCACCCAATCCTCAAGGAAAGAAAGGAAAAAGAGGGGCAGTAAAGGAGAAAGACCTTAGAAAGCAGAGGAAGGACAGACAATTACAGTCCAGTAGTGGACAACAATCAACTAGGATTAGGTGTGTGTGGAGGGAGAGATATCAAGAATTCATTTCAAAGTCTTGTCCCCTACTGCAGTTAATAGCCCAAGTCTTTGGGCAAGTTTGGGCAACTATATAGTCCTGACACTGCTGAAACCGTTCCAAGTGTGTGCATGTCAGACGGTGATAAAATTCTGGAAGTCTCTGCATCTCCCCTCTTTTCAAATACAAACAACTACTTCTCTCCAGCCACAGCCAATCAACGCGTCCATCCAAAGGGCAGAAACACGGCAGGAAGAGGCTCTCCCTCACATCCTCCTGTCTCACAGGTGCCAAGCACCAGACCCAGGTAAGTAACTTTGTCCACAATTAATTGCATGATATTGGTTCCTAACATCTTTCCTTATCATTAATTGCCTCTTCCGTGATTGGTAGGATAAGCTATGCACCAACATACAGACACGGAAATGCATTATTTTTTACCACAGTTAAAAAAACAAAAAACAAACAAAAAAAAAGCACAATCTTTGGAACAAAAGAATTAAAGGCAGAAATTTAAAGGAAAAATACATATTCAAAGAACATAGTGAGGTATAAAAAAGTATTTTCTCTTTTGTTTTTTTTGTTTTTCCTCCTCATCTTGCTATAGAGTTCCTCTACTAGTAAATATTGCAATAGCCAGGCCTCATGAACTGGGGGGGGCTGTCCCACTTGCAGGGGCTCACGTCACTTCAGTAGGGGGCGAATCGGCTGTAGCCACCTCGGTATAAACTCGCCTGCAGAAGTTAAAGGAGAAAAGAAAAGGTGATTAGGAGCTAGGGGAGAGAAACATTCAAAGCAATGACAAAAGCTCCATGAAAGGGATTGGAGAGAGTGCGTCTGGGTGTTGATCTACCACCTTTGGAGCCTCCAACTGGCAGATGAGATGGGAAAGTCAGAAAAAACAGACACCAGGCGCAGGTGGGACAGCCTCACAGACAACCAGTTAGTTGAAAGTAGAGTTGAGCAAATCTCCCAATCGAAACAGCTCCAAGGATCTCCGAGTACAATTCTATGTTTCCTTTTTGGATGAATCCGCTGGCATTTCAATGTTCATGACAGCAGAGATACAGTATTGACTGGAAGCAGACATGGCGAGGGTGAGTTCTGTGCAAGCTGCTCCACTCACCTCAGATGCCCACACACCTCATTCCTGACCTGGTCTAACCTGTGTCTTTCCAGTCATGTCCCCCACCACAGCTCTTCCCCAGCATCTCACTCCTAGAGTGACCAGATGTCTCGATTTTATAGGGACAGTCCCGATATTCAGGGCTTTTTCTTATATAGGCGCCTATTACCTCATCTCCCTACCCCGTCCTGATTTTTCACACTTTCTATGTGGTCACCTTACTCACTCCTGACCTGGAACACCCCTTGCTTTTCCAATCCCAGGAATTCCACAGCCCCATGCACCTCAGTGTTGGTCTGCAATGCTTCCAATGCTCGAAGGCCCTCATGTTCCTTTCTATAGGGGGCTTCTTCCCATTTAGAGCCCTTAAATATATAGAACTTGGGATTTAGGAATGCAAGAAGCACTAAAGATAATGGAGAGCCAAGCAAGCCATCTAGGTCTGTTCCCTGCAAAGAGTCCTTGATCCATTCACCTGCCATCTTTCCTATATAGTTCTGCTTTGCTTTACAGAGCAATGCAAGGGCAGAAAAATGGCTCCTACCTCAGCTAACCTGCTCGGTGTATGTATCAGAGTCAGATCTGACTTTAGTAACCAGATAAGCTTTTGCTACTTTTTATTCCTCTGAGCCCTGCAGAGCTGAGCGATGGAACTGGAATCTATTCCTTCTTGTACAAAACAATGGTATACTACGTCCCAAGCAGTGACACCTGTGGAAACCCACTGAAGGCAATGGGTGCAAAGGTGGCACTGAGGGCCTAATTTTTTCCTGACTTTCATTCTGCCATAGCTGACAGGTTGCACACTGCCAATCATTGTGTTGCTCCTCAGCAACCTCATTCTAGTGCCAAGGGGAACCAGGAACAACAGCTCCATTGGCAGCTCTCTGAGGCCCAGGAGAGACAAGACCTTATTCTACCTCCCTCACCAAGAATTAGTATTCTTTGCATGCAACACAGTTTTTAAAGTTAAGGTAAGTGGTGGTGAGAGGATGCCTTGCACTTTCAAGCTTTGCCACAACAGTTTCCAGAGACTCCATCCAGTAGAAGCAGAAGCAGCCAAAGCAAGGGCCAGGGTGTACAATGGGGCCCAGCTGGGGGTACTCCTGCCCTCAGAATTGTGTAGGGGAGACCGCCCACACAGTCTGGGGGCACTAGGACTCAGGTGTGTCTCTCTGCCCTTCCCCTCATGTGGGCTTGGGAGAAAGCTACAGAGCAGGGCTGGTTAAGGGCAGAAACAGCCAAATCAAAGACCTTTGGTCCTTATGGTTACGTCTACACTGCAATAAAAGATCCATGGCTGGCCCAGGTCTGCTGACTCGGGCTCACAGGATTTAGGCTGCAGGGCTATAAAACCGCAGCGTAGAGATTCAGGTTTGGGTTGGAGCCCAGGCTCTGAGACCCTGCAAGGGGGGAGGGTCTCGGAGCCCAGGTTTCAGCCCAAGCCCGAACGTCTACGCTGCAATTTTATAGCCCTGCAGCCCAAGTCAGCTGACCTGGACTCTGAGACTCAGTGCCGCGGGTTTTTCACTACATGGTAGACGTATCCTTGGAGAACTTTCTGCAGGTTTGAGTGCTCTTTTTCCGCCCTGTGCTGATTGGCTGTTGGCTCCAACCCTCCCCCTTTCCTCACAGTCTCTCTGCCTCAGCATCACCCCTGTTCCCCTCTTCTCCCCTTCCCTATTCCCCTCATCTCCCTTCCTTTCAACGTCCCCCTCGCCCTTCCTTTTAATTATCCCACCCTAACTGTACCCACCAAATAAGGAAAAGAGTCACAGCACTAACCTGCTGTTTGCCACCAACACATTGTTCACTCTGACTGTGTGTGAGACCCCTTCCCCCACCCTGTTTCTGTGCTGTCTGGTTAGACTGTAAGCTCCTCAGGGCAGGGACCATCTTTTATTGCTGTGTTTGTACAACACCAAGCACAATGGGATCATGGTCCATGACTAGGGCTCTTAGGCGCAATGGTCATATAAATAGTAATAATAAAGCCACACTATCAGATATCACCTTTTTGCTCTCCCCATCCCCCTCCTAAGCACCAGAACAATAAGACACTGCTCATCTCCAACTGCAGTAACAGATCTGTCAGGCAATACAGACAAGGGGGCATGGACTAGCTGGAGAGCTTCCTTGCAGTGAGAGGCCTCTTGACTAAAGAGAAAAGGTGGTCGATAGAGACTCTCAGCAGCTCCTGTGCTCTGGGCAGCTATTCGCCATAGTAGGAATGAGAGAAATGGCAGGAGGATAGAAAGAAAATCATACTTACCACAGCGCCAACTCCGTAGCTAGCGGCAGGGGCAAGGGCGTGATAAGGGTCTGCTGTGTACACCCTGCCATAACTGAGGAAAGGGGGAAAAGAAAAAATGTCACTGCACAGAGGGATTTAGATATTGCTCTTTGACCAGAAGAAGGGGTGGGGGGATGGTGTTGTGCCCCCCCACACACCTGTTTGAGGCAGCCCCACTCCAGAGAGAATCTATGGATACATTGTATGAGATGGGATGGGAGAAAGGCCTGCAAGGAGGGGACACACAAAAGCCATATTCTCAATTAGCAGGAGCGTGGTGAGAGCAGCTGGCATCACATTTAGTGCCCCCGCTACATCTAGTGGTGCGATTTTGGAGGAGGGCAACTAGTGGTATTAGGGCAGCTGCCATGATTACAGCAGCTAATTGGAAGGGAGAGAGGACTTGTCCAGCATATGAAGATAGGAGTGCAAGTTTTAGAGATGGATAAATGAGAGATTTTTCAGTTTGCTGGCAATTCCAAAAAAATTGAAAAAATTAGTTTCAGGTCAAACAAAACCTTTTGTTTTGACTTTAAGTGTTTTTCTTTACGTTTTTGCATTTTCAAAACCAAAGGAAATTTCAAAATAAAAAGTGGTTTTGACACTAAAAATGAAACTTTTCAGTTTGAAATGTCAAAACAAAACATTTAGATTTTTTCAGATTTTTGGGAGGGATGGGGGGGGAGGAGAGTTGGCCAAAACAATTTGGTGAAACCAACACAAATTCATGAAATGTTTTGGTGTCACTGAATTTGCCTTTTTGACACCCCCACCCCCCAAAAGTTTTGGTTGAAAAATTTCCCCCAGCTCTAGTAAGGCTGAAAAGTCCCATCATGCATTTGAATTAATATGCAATTTTCACTGTACAGGGAGATAAAAGACCTTATGACATTCACTCTGATAATAATCTGAATAATTCCTTGCACATATACAGAAGTTTTCATTAAAGGATCTCAAACTACTTTACATGGTAATTCTTACCATTTTACAGATGGGGAAACTGAGGCACAGAGTGATTCAGTGACTTACCCACAGTCACAGAACAAAGAAATTGGAATATAAACCATGTCTCCTGACTCCCAGTACCCGGCCCTAACCATAAAACCATGTTGTCTCTTTTGACAAAAGACCAAAGGGGTAAGGGAGAAACCAGGCTTAGTGCCCTATCCCATATATCTGACAGCTACAGAGCCCAAGCCTTGAATGGCCAACTGGACATTTTCCTCTAAAGTGTGTGTGTGTGTGTTTGGGGGGGAGCGGGGAGATGAGTGAGAGTAATGAGGTAGAGGAGTATTTAAATGGAGTAGCAGTACTCCATGAACCCCTGAGCACATCAAGCTTGCCCCATTCCTCCTTACATACCCATCGCTGTAAGCTGCTGCAGCGGCGGCAGCGGCTGTGGCTGCTGTTGCAGTAGCAGGCTGTGCATATCTGTAGGCTGCATATCCACCCTGCAGGAGAAAAAGAGAACTGACTTTACAGATACCTGTCCACCAACAGAAAGCAAAACTCACACACACCACAAGGAGAGGAAGTGTTTCAAACTGCATCAGCTCCCATGTTACATCCATCACAACAGAGTCACCCTCTAATCCCTCTATGTTCTACCCCTCAGTAGGCTTGGGGAGAGCCTCAGTAGGCAGTTTAGTGAAAGGCATAGGCTGAAGGAAATCTCATATGGTCATTCGTGTGGGAAGTTACAGTTGGTGTTGAGGAGGGGAAAACCAGGACAGAAAAGAGCTAAATTTGGCTGTTGTACCCCTATATGCCCCTCTGCCAGAGTTGGGGGAAGCTGCCTAAGAAGAGAGGTGTGGGCTGCGGGCAAAGGAACATAACAAGGTGTTCTCTTTTCCAGCAATATGCACTTTACAAAGAAAATCACCCAGGGAAACTCCTGCTTTTGTTTCTTTGCTGTGAGAGGGACAAGAAGTTTAGATATTACCTGGTTCAGATACACAAAAGAATGATCAGTTAGTGAAACTCCCAGAAACTGAACCAGGTGCAACTAACTGGCACTCTCGGCAGAGGCAGCAAGGATTAAACGTTTAGAGAGACTGAACTAGCCTTTTTCCACTTTGGGTTGGCCCCTCAAAGTAAGGCTGAGGCATGTTGGGGACCTCTGGGCATTACGTCAGGGAAGCTTGTGTTGTTGCTGTTGTCCATGCTATAGTTGCTCTGAGAATAAATAGAAGCCTTTTAAAAGATGCTGGGATGTTACAGATCACAGGAGGTTGTTCAGAAAGTTAGTTACAGCTCCCAGGGAATTGGCAAAATTCATCCTAAATCCTGAGCCAAAGGTAGATTTGTGGGTCTCTGAGTGGAATTCCTGAAAAGCAGAGAGACAGGCAGTTCCTTCCTTTTCCCCCTTCTCTGGGCTGAGAGAGACCTGAGTAGTCAGGCAAGTGGCTTTTTATATCTTTCATGGGGCAATTAAAGGTAACCTATGGACTGAAGGTATATTCCTGCTCAGAATGGAGACAAAGGCCCATCTGAAGAGGTTTCTACTGTCAGAAACCAGGATAATGAGCTTGATTTACTGTATAACTTTGAACATGGCTTTTGTTAACCATATGGGGACAATATGGCCAGTGACTCCAGTTTGTGCTATGTGATTCTGAATCACAGGGAGCCATTACTAAAGCCAGAAAACCCCAGAGACAGTTTTCAACATTTACGCAGTTGTGTAGGACCAAAAACTGGCCTTACGTAGGGTTAATGACAACTTTGCCATCATTAGCCGACACATTTTTTGTCCAGAGGAGGGCAAAAGCAAAAACTCAAGCTCATATTCAATCTGAGGGAAAATACATGATCCTTTTCCTTGTGAAGTTTGTCTCAAAGTTTTCTTTTTAAAAAGAGGCAATGGCTTTTATTTTGTTTCCACTGCCTTAGTGGAGCTACTTGGAATGAAGGATGGGGAGCTGAATGGAAGACAAGTTTGCAGATGCTTTCTTACTCTGGAGGAGATGAAGATATAATGTGGATGAGTAAGTTAGGATCTTCCTGTTAATGAGATACAGCATATTGCAAATCTTCACCCATTAAACATTACATCATCTTTTTAAAATGGTGTGATGTCACTGCTTTTACCCTCCCACTCTTAGCTGGTTGTTTTTTAGTCCCGCCGCTTAAATTTGCTGGGTTTTCATACTTTACTGCTGATCCCCAAACATGAAAGAGAGAGGGTGCCCGAGGTACACTCAGTTTATCCATATTAACTTTCCCCAGCAAATGCAAGCAAAACTTCAAATGGACATCACCACTGTACTCTCCTAGTTTATGAGATTCCTGAATTCTTGGTATGTCTAATGTTCAGACAGATGCAAAATGTACCCAGTTCCGCACGTTAGTATCACATGCAGGGCAGCCTGCATCAGAATGTGCCCAGATTCTCACTCTCCCGAACATTTACTAGCCACATGGGAGATCAGCAGCCATGTTTAATGTGAGTGGAGGTTATTGTGAACATAACAGCAAGATGCAGTTTGAAACCGAAAAAAGGTTTTCATTTATTCTCTTTTAACTTACATGTCATATAACGGGAAAAGGGACAGAGGGACTGGAATCAGGTGTGGGAAAGGTAATGGCGTAACATCTATTAATCAAATTAAAAACTAAGCATGCTGACATCTGGAGCTAAAACAACCAGCAAAATCACCACGTTCAGACTCATATTGGCTAGTTCTATCTATCCCAGCATTCTCTTGGGACAGCGGTTTGTCCTAGGCTCTACCACAAGCTCGGTGAAGTACACAGCCTCAATTACTAGAGCGTGCAGCCACAACGACCTGCTATTACGGAAACAGTCAGTCACCACTGGAGTTAACATTCCAAACCTTAACAATCCCCGCATCCCGCCCCAAAATAAAAACGTCTCCCACCCTAGCCCTAGCCCACACCACAATGTTAATAATTATAACAAGCAATAACCCATCTGTTATATCAGAGAAGGGAACAGAGACTCCACTGAGAGATTTAGAGCGAGATGTTAACATTTCTTCAGCCGACTGCACAACAAACAAAAAACAGGAGAAATATTTCATTGGAGAAATGAAGTTAAGAAACAGCTGACATGTGTACTGGTCTTAACCATGCACTGATGCAAAATGGAAGCTACTGTTAATTAAAAAAAAATTAAAGGATACATGTATATACACACATAATCAGACCTATTTGATCTGGAGCTGTTTACATATTCTATGTGTGTACAATAAATAAAACAAAAAACGGGGACTAACATCACTATGATACGTTCCTGAGCAAGGACCGCTTCTGGGGATTCAGACATCTGGCTATATCTAGCTTTACCTAAGCAGGTCCGAATACACCAAAACGGGAAAAATAAAAGGTCCCATTTCTCACTCCTTTTCATTCCTTAATAATTTCTGGTGAGTTTTAGGACTTGTAAAAGGCAAGGGGAAGCTCTGTGGGAGTTTCCTTCCTCAAAAGCAACCCCTGCTTTTCCAAACCCATGACCCACACATAGCTCCGTCAATGCATTTCAGATCCCACACAGCTTGTCCAAAGCACCTACAATGTCTTCATCCTGCTATTCCTGCCCACGCACAACTTTGCCTGAAGTAAAAAGCTAAACCATTAACCCACTCACAGGGGCGTACCCCCAATGATTTCTGATGCCACTCTCATCAGGGGTTGTAGCGTATTTAAATTGTGTCACTATAGGATATTTTCACTGAACTTGCATGTTCATGTCATCCAATGAAAAAGACAGCTCCTGAATAGCTGCTCCATACTTCTCTAGTGCTGCAGAGGGACCCTAATGGAGCCTACCCTTCAATGGCATAGTCCCTAAATACCCAAGGCAGCTGTGCAATCTCCCTCAACCTAGTTAGCCTTTTTTAAAACCTCCAAACTGTGTGTCAAAACAAATGAATGGGTCTGGACTTCTTGTGAGAATGTGATGTCAGACACCTCCCTACCAGCAAAGCAGTAACAAAGCTCTGCCACAAGAAGGGAGGAGGGGCAAGGAGAAGGGCTGTATGTATTTAGTGCGCAATCAATTGCAAAGAGAAGGCCCTTCTACAGCAGGTATGGGTCTTTAGAGCACACACTATTTTGGCTGGGTTGAGGGAGATGTGTGAAGACAGATGAGGACAGTCTAAGCACTGCTTTGGCAAAGTGCAGATTAGCTTCATTTGAGTTCTTTTACTCTCAGTATGTCTCAAGTGCTGAGAGAAGTTGTCTTTAATGAACCTCTCCTCTTTTGTGGCTATATAGAGGGCCCTACAGGCTGATTCCATTGTCCTCATTTGTCAATCTGATTGGATTTTCCTAGGTGTGTGGCAGAAGTCCCCTGACCTCAAACTACTTTTCTGAGGGCCAGAGGACCAAGATAAGCAGATACCAGCCATGACCCAGCAACAGAAGGATAAGTCAAAACATCCCCAAAATTTGCCAAAATGAAAATGTGGATTTTTTTTAGTATTAGTTTGTTGCTGCAAGTACCTGAAAATTATTTGACAACTGATGTAAGTATGAAGCTGCTGTCTGACTGAAGCAACATTTCAACTGTCCACTGAAGATTCTAAAGGCAGATAGCAAGTGTTTTCAAGTTGCCTACACTGCGCTCTTCAGCACAAAAAACCACTCACTCTCTTCCTCACATAAGAGCCAAATGGGGTAATCATAAACTAAACAGACCATAAGGAAATCCAATTACATCTTGCAACAAGCTTCCCCTCTCCTCTTTCAGTGCCTTATTATTCAGGCATATTAGCAAGTGCCCTTTCTTTGGAGTGGCAGAGGACAGAGAGAGCGAGCAGAGAAGCGTGTTGCTCAGGTTCAGTACTATGGAGCACCTGCATACCTCTTGGTGTTAGAGGTATTTCCAGAAACATGAAGAAAAGGACAGTCCATGCAGATGTGTGTCTATATACTCACTACCCTATCCATTTTGGGGTTGCAAGTCCAATTTTAGGAACCCTCTGTTTTCTAGGCCTAGCGCGTCTTTTCTCCATTCCCCAATGCCCCTATAACTGAAGGTTAAAAAGCAGAAGGGGCTGGAATTGATTTCTAGGATGTCTGTATTAGAAAGCTGGCAGGTAAGCACTCTGGATCGGCAGGGGTGACCTGAAAGAGGTGACAGAACAACAGCATTCACTGCACCAGGTGAACCTACATAGTAATGGGACAAGCATGGCCTTTGTTAACCCTTCCACTTAATTTTTGGAATGAAAAGCCACTTGGTGTAAAACCTGAACATGTGCAGCCCAGAGGTAGCAGGAGCTTTGATCACACGCTCACAAGTCTGCACTGTCCTAAAAAAAGCCTCTGTTCCCATCTCTAACGTGGCGCTGGAATGGTTAGTATAATTCAGTTTTTTTCCACTGCAATCCACAATCTGATTGGTTGGCAGGTCACACTGGCACTCCTACCTGAGGTATTTTAGCGCTAATGATTGGTTCCTGTAAGACTATTCTATAACAGAACACAGGAAGAGCAGTTCAAAAAACACAGCTGTGGAAAGAAACAATCATACAAACACAGCCCACAGAGGGGCTCACCAGCCTTTTCTTTCCAGTGGATGCAAGCACGCTTTTCATAGATGGGAGTGGTCTTTATGGGTGGTTTGTTGTCCCAGACTGACCCCATTGTAGGAGAAGCATCGTCTTTCCTCATGGCCAAAATGGAGCCCCCAACACCGACCCTGGGGAAGGTTACTTTATAAATTCAGTTATTTTGCCAGACAGGAATGAGTCCAACAAGAGATGGAACAGCCCTTTTAATAGAAGAAAGTGGCTAGCAGGATGGTTGCCCCAGAAAAGAAGAGGAGGGAGGAGGAAGAGGAAGACCAAATCAAAGCGTATGATACCTGTGTGGGAAGGAAGAGCAGCCAAAGCCTGGAACAACCCTCTTCTCCCCCTACTCACCCCATCCTGCCAGCTGGAGGTCCTTCTCCCCCCTGCTTTTCCTCAGCCACCCCTACCAGTTCAGCAGGTGTGAGGGCTCTTCACCTTAACTTCCATCACCCCAACAGCTAGGGAATCCTCTTCTCAAAATCAGCAATCAGTGGCTGAAGAACCCTGTTCCTTCATCCTATAACTTAGGACAGCCCTCATATAGCAACTAAACGAATACAATCCAGTGGGATATGAGGCATCAGCACCCATTCAATTTGTGCCAATCCACAGTGGAAAGTGGGGTAACTTAGAAGTTCGGGCTGAGATGCATCTCTCTTGAGAACTCTAGCAATAAAAAGTAAAGGGATGAACCTGGCCAACCTATGTTCAGAGATGCCCTATATTGCATTCCTGTTTTCCCCATTAGTGGGACCTGAACTGTTATAGCAAGATGTCAAATAAATGGTTTTATCTGAGGGTTCTAGTCCCTTTTTAGCGCTTAGACACATTAAATGCTGAAACTGGAGTGCAACATGAGGTGGGTGTGGGGATTCTCTGTACTATTAAAGTCACTGTCAAGGTATTAAGATGTTAAATGAGCCCCTTTTATGCATCAAAGGTGCAAGCTAAAGATCTGACCGAACTTTCTGAAAAGAATCAGGGGATAACCCCAGTCAACATTTCCCTCTCAACAAGGCTTTAATGTGCCAGACTGTGCAAGAGAAGCCACCAAGCACAGAATAGCTGCCCATTTACCTGCTTAGTCACTGCATGGTCAGCCTCAAACTCGCTGATCTATATAGACTAGAGTAAGGCTTTAGGAGTGACAGAGAAAAAACAGAACTCTTTCCTACATCCTGAAGAAGTATTATCATGGAACACTTGACCAGGCAGGTCAATTTCTAGGTGAGCATATGTGCAAGAGCACGTGTGTGAATCAGGAAATTCATGTGCATGGGTGTGTGCAGGCATGTACATGTGAGAGCATGTGTGAGAGAGTTTACTTGCAAGCAGGCAAAGTATATACATAACACTAAGTTCCTCTGTGTTTAGATAGAATGTTTTCTAACTGTTGGGTTGGGAAAAGTGTCTTTATAAGGTCTGAAGCTCCATATAGACCAGAGAAGCCCAAAGGCAACCCTATCCATTACCCAGGAACCAACCTCTAGATGTATATCTTTGGATGTTAGGGGCACCATCTCCTAAGCAGTAAGGAAACCAAGTTCAGCTATTCTGGCCACTATACCCACAAACAAGACAAAATTCTTGAAACTCCAAAGATACATCTCCACCTATTTAAGGGACAGCTTTGCTGGAGCCTGATAGTCTGAGCAGGATGAGGGTGGGGACAGTGCATTTAAAGTTCTTTGGTCTGGAGAGCACATTCCTATAGTGTGATTGTTATAATGAAACTTTCCATCCAAAGGAAAACTGCTCTCCTCACCTACCAATCAGAACCCCCCCGCCCAACGCTATGTTCTAGGAACACCACCCTCAATCAGTTCAAACATCAGTGCACTAGGAATTCTGGATACAGATATGCTGGTGAAGTCACATGATTGGGCAAAGCCTTTTTCGGTGCTTGAGAAATTTACCAGGATGCAGGAGGCTGCTGACTCTTCCATCTAAACATCCTCACATATACGTGCTCTACAACTCCCCTAGGGAGAAGAAAGAGAACCCTTATTCTAGTTAGGTACCATTTCAACTAGCAAAATGAGATGCCAACCTTCACTCCAGTATCTCAGACTCCATTTTTAATCAGCCCCATGTCTTCTCCAGAGGAGTGACATCCACATCCCAATGGTACACGAGCTTTTGTAAACACAGAGCTCACTTAGCTTAGTGCATGGTGCACAAATCAAGCCTGAAAGGGCCCCAAGAGGGGAGAAGAAGGGGGAGGGGACAGGGAAAGGGAACGTCTGAGGCTAAACCAGTCCTGTTATTTTTATATCCAAATTATGCAAATGAGAGAAGTATTGAGAGAAATTTTAATTTGCTAATCATCTCTCAGGTTGATTAGTAGCAGTGTGCATGTGGGGAGAGGACACCCAGTAAACTGACCCTGGCAATGATCAGGAAACCCATAGGCTTAGGTCTTGCACCCAGGGGCAAGCGCAGTGACAGAGAAGCATGCTTGCATTCTTAAATATATAATATATATATCCACAAGGAAGAAGAAAATTAAAGAAAATGATATTTAAAAAAACCAAAAACAAATCAAACCAACCAAATAAACAAACAACAACAACAACAAAAAAAGGCTGGCTTGTCGAAGGTTGGGGATGAGAAGGCTCCGGTGTGTGTACTTACATAGAGGTCAGCACCGTAAAATCCGTCCTGGTAAACCACACTGCAGAAAATCCACACAAAAACAAAAAACAAAAACAAAACAAAAACAAAAAGAACAGAAAACACATTCCGGTTATTGAGGACGGCAGCATGCACATGCGTTTTACACAGGCAGGTGATGTATGAATCCACAACCTGGGCTTTCTGGCAGGAGCGAATCAGCAAGAGAATGTGTGTGCGCACGTACCCATGCGGCCCCATGTCATCCTCCATGGCATGCAGGGGGGGGGGGATGGGGAGAGGGACGGGACAGTATGCATAGGGTGAGGGGGAAACAGCCTTCATATTGTATAATAAAAATAGACTCAGAAAGACCTGATGCCCTGAAGAAGAGAAACATGGATTTAGGAGCCTCCACTCTGGTTATGATCCTGGAATTACTTTAGTTACTCCCTAAACACATGGAAAAACTGGCTTCATGGAGTGGGTTTCACATGGACTAAAGAAGCCCTTTAGAAGCAGTCCCACAAGGGCTAGAATCCACCTAAGTCAGAAGCACATTGGAGAAAGCTATGTATAATTCTGTATGTTGAGTTTTACAGGGCTGCATGACTGTTTCTGATATCCATACATCACCTGTTTTTACCCTGCACATTAGACATGCGATAAGATTTGGCTGATCACACAAGCATGCAAAGTATTATTATTCAGCATCTTAAAGAACCGATGCAACACCTCAGGAAAACAAGTCAATCAATTCTGATCAAAGTAAACACGGAGAAATATAATTAAAAAGAAAAAACCAAAAATACCCACAATGCATTGCTTTCACAAGCAGAGATAATGAGCTAAAAAGGTTAAGTGATTGGTCCAAGGTTCAAGAATTGAAAGGTGCAGTGGGATCATCCCTGATAGTAACGACACATTCCACAGCAGAGAGGAGCAACTGGAAGGGCTTGGATGGGATGGTGCTCTCTTTGGCTTTATTGATCACTATTAGTTTCTCTCAGAACTTCAAGCTGCAAAAATGTCAAATCAGGGTCTGGGGTTCCCAAAGAGCCACTCTTACCAGAATATTTGGCAGTGTAAGGCTGTAATGTAGCTTGCTTTGGGGATGGAAATTGGGGAAGGACAAGGAAGGACAAAAGGGTATACTCCAGGCCGCCGCCCCCCCCCCCCCCCCCCCCCGTTATAAACACATGCTTTCATATTACACAACTTTCTCCTGTTTTGTCCTCTGGACAGCTCAGTGCTAAGCCACCCACACTTTAAAAAGCATTATCTCCACCATCTTTGAGACCCATGGGGGCATGTGTATAACTTACCAATAGCATTACCACAAGCTAGAAAGAGGTAGGGAACATTAGCTGTAATTTTTTTTGTGGCATCAGCTGGAGTGTAAAATGCTGCCAAGATCCTGACACCCTGATTAAAACACCCATCTATTGTAAAGTACACAGAGAGAGGCCAGGATATCTTGCAAGCAGACTGTAAGCTATTATTAAAAATAATGGAGCAACGTTAGCTACAAGTAAAGTCTTTTGGTAAAATATTGTCTACTCCAAGATAGGTGCAATCCATTCCCCATGGACAGAGTTGCATTGGTCTCTAAGTGCACTAGATGTGGAGATGAAGAGAAAAGATGATATACCTCAGCAGGGAGAAGTGGGCCATATGGTGTTTGTAGGAACCAAACTCTAAAACCACAAAAGTTTGGCTTCTGGGGCCGTGACTTAAATTGTTAGATTTTCTGTCGTCAAGTGTGTTTTATTATTACTCCTGCATGAAGGGTAAACACTTGACAGAGAACGTGATTGTTTTATGAATAGGTTACCATTTTGGTAAAAATATTTTGGAGTTCATAGGAATTGTCATACTGGATTATACCAATGGTCCATCTAGTCTAGGATCTTGTCACTGACAGTTGCCAGCACTGGCTGCTTCAGAAAAAGGTACAAGAATCCATGTTGTGGGATAACTTGTCACTAGAGAAAGTTCTCCTCCGTAACCCCTAATAAATTGAGATTGGCTTACATCTTGAAATTTGAGGGTTTAAATCCCTTCCAAAACTCTTGGTATTTTTTCCTCCCCTCTTAGCATTTACTAGAACAACTCTGGTTACTGAGGCTAAAAACTTAGCAAGATTCGAAAAGGGACTGGACATTTATATGGATAGCAAGAATATCCAGATTTATTCATTCATTATTGCAAACAAATTTTTGAAGGGATATTCATATATTATTTTAAGGCCAGATGGACCACAATGTTTATCTACTCTGACCTCCTGCATTACGCAGACCTTAGAATTTCACCAAGTGGTTTCTGCTTCAAGCCTATAACTTTTAGAAAGACTTCCACTTTGACCTGCACCACCCCTTATATCCTCAGTCGGCCGCACAAGGGAAGATACTACGCATGTGCAGGTCAATGGACACTGCTTGGAAAAACTTCCAGATTCAGCTGCATGGTGCGCATGTGTACCCACGTGTGGAATACACATAGGGCCCAGCACAGAAGAAGATGAAGAATCCATCACATCCCGAGGTAAATTATTCCAGTGGTTAATTACCTGCACTGCCAAAAAAAAGTAGTAATACCAAAAAAAAAAAAAAAAATTTAAAAGGTGCCTTATTTCTAGTTTAGATTTGTCTAGTTTCAGCTTCCAAATACTGGATCTTGTTATGCCTTTGTCTGCTGTATTAAAGAGCCCTGTACTATCATAAATTCTTTCTCCACATAGGTACTTTCTCTAATAGGCTGTGATCAAATCACTTCTTAACCTTCTTTCTGTTAACCTAAACAGATTGAGCTTTTTTAGTTTTGAGTTTTTTTACTGCTGGGAGCCCCAGGCCCTTTAAATCGCCGGCCTGGGGAAGCCGGTCCAGTCCGGCATGGCGTACCGACTCTTGACAGTACGCCGGATCGGACCAGCTTACTTTCACCTCTGACCATGACCCCTAAAGGTTTTTCTGGTTCACAGCCTTCCAAGATATAGGATGGGAGGCTGTATGTGTAACCTATGTTTTTAGTCCCTACATGTATGATCTTGCAATTAGCAGTATTAAAATGCACATTCATGCATATTTTATTAAACCTTATGCTTCAGGTTTTAAACCAAATCTGTAATTACTAGGGATTAGGAAGTTTCTTGCCCCTTCCTCTGAAGCATCTGGATCTGACTACTATCAGAGACGGGATACTGGGCTAAATGGACCTTGAGCGTGATCCAGTCTGGCAATCCCTATTCTTGTTATCCGTATAAATGTCTTACCTTTTTGAATCCTGCTAAACTCAAAGCCTCAATGATTATCTTGTGGCAATTATTTCCACAAAATAATTGTGTTTTTTTAAAAAGTATTTTCTACTATCAGTTTTGAATTTTCCACCTTTCAGTTTTATTGAATGCCTTCTTCCTAAGCATCCACTTTATTTTAGTCACTCAAGGCTTGGTTCTTGATTTCATGGTCTCATCTTTCCATTAAAAGGGTAGGGGGAAGTAACTGATGCATGATTTGGTGCCAGGAATGTATGCATGACACTAAGCATTCAAGGTCAAAAGTGGCCTGATGTAACTTCAGTTGTAATACTGTTTTTCTCCTACTGTTTTTTTATAACTAAAATGTGTGGAGCAGTTTATAACTCTACAATGAGGAACCACCTTCGTCTGTAAGACATGCAATGTTGGAGACCCAGTCTATGACAACAACAAATGTATTAATTAAAAGCTCATGTTTGTGTCTAGCACAATTCAGGATCATTTGTGAGTGCAGCTTGTTTACTGCTGTCTTCCAATTGTTTGCTGGACAGTTCACTGAACATGAAGACGTATGAGATCAATCTGTGGCGTCAGACATACTGAATGAATTGCAAGTAAATACAGTCATGAGACATTATTTAGAAGGGATGGTCACTGGTGCATGGCCTGTATTCCAAATGTAAATAACTCCTTTATACAAAGATGGGGTTGGATTTAACCAATCAATCATAAGTGCAGAAAGGCTATAAGGAGTGTTCTCCCAGTGTACCACTGATGACAGCCTCTTGCTAGGAATGCTCTAGCCGTTACTATCAGGGATAAAGAATAAAAGTCCTTCCTACAACAGGATAAAAGTCCTTCTAGATGGTAGCACTTAGCTCAGTTTTGCTTGTGTGCTTCACTCTGGAGCATTTCCTGATAAAACAGGACTGGGTCATTATTACAGTAACAAAGATGGACAGAGGTTGTAGGTCAGAGGCCAGGGTTAGAGACTATAGGATATAAACTTGTAATGGCAGTGGAAAGAGACGGATCTGTGTAAGAGGGATGATCATCTGAAAACTCAGCAAAAAGAACACCTTGTGAACCCCCATGTGTTCAGGCAACAGTTTCCCCACCCCGGGTCACTGGATGTACTAAGGCCAAAATATTTATTTGCCTAATGTAAGATGCAAAGCAGTTCAAATTATTGCTACAAGTTCTTGCTGTAGGTTAGATGGATGTCTGGCTACTCCAACTTGCTTCATTGAGCTCTATTTTAAATGCCAGACTGGACTCTACAAAGAAAGGGCACAGTAACCCTCATCTTAATCTATTACACAAGATCTCTCAAGCTGATCAGTACATCCGAGGGCAAGGTCCAAATGTACTGTGGTATTAGGAGACTTATAGTCTATGCTCTCCCTCTCCATAGCTGGCTTAATGAGGAGAAATGGGAGTTAGTGCCCACATTTCTTGCTCTCTGGGAGGATTCTCTCTCACTCAGATTCCCTCTGTGAAAATGTGAGGATGTTGCCTTGAGAACCGGGCAAACAGGCAACCAGTGTAAGCAATGTGAATGAAGCAGCCTCAGATTCAAAGAACCCAAATAAATCCAGCAATTTACACCTTTCAAATAACAGAATAGTTTGTTGCTACGGAATTCATTCCACTGCATGACTAATGAAAATCAGATGGTGAAGGATGCTAGATCACACGTCCATCAGTACTTTATACCATTCTTATTATTCGAAGTATGTTGCCGTTTCATTTTCCCTATACTCCCTCTTCTCCCCCACCTTAATTTAAATGGACTTGATTGATCTTTGTTTTAAACCTTTTTAAACTGTCTCCAACAAAGAAAGCAAATCTATTGTGGGTAACTAGCTCTCCTGTGCCCTACTCCCAGATGGTGAGGCATGAAGGTAACTGATAATACTCCCCACTCCTGGATAACAAAATACAAAGGAGTGAAGAGAACAGAACCTGCCTCACTCCACAGACTTGAGACCCTTCCTTTGTCCTTTTTCATAGTGTCAATGCTAGATGAATTCCACATGGACAAACTACTAATGCATATGAGAAGGAACCTGCTGGTACCTTAGGCAGTTGCCTTTAGTTACTAGAGTGTCAGGATACTGAAATGAAGTGTAAAGTATCTAACCCAAAAGATTTTAGATCTGTCTTTTTTCGGTGCCACTGGGTGCAGAGTACTCTGAAGTTGGTGCATCCTGACTCTCACCATCCAACAGAGCTCTGATTTTTATCCTTGGCCAATCAGCTACCTCTCAACATGGCGTAGAACACACTGTTTTGGTGTCCAGTGCTTACCCTGGATAGGCAGGGATGGCCGTGGGGGGTACTGCCCGGACTGCACCGTATACTGTTCGTCCTCGACCCCTCAGGTGTGCTCCCCGGAACGCAGCTGCTGTGGTGGCTGCAGTTGGGTAGGGGAAGCCTGGAACTGTAAAGACAGATAAGGAGAAAGATGAGAGAGATCAGAACTCCTGCCCAATTCAAAACTATCTGTTTTGAACAAAATAATACAATAGGCTCGAGAGCTATGGGATGTTCCGCGTCTGTCCGGCAAAGGGGCATGCTTACAGCCCCATAGAAAGAGTGTACCTCCTGCTACATCACTAGAGGGAGAGAGGGGCTGCAGAGAGGCCTGGCATGCAAGGGGTTAATGCTGTGTCATGCCTTGTTCATTGCAAACGTGGTACAATTTCCCTCCGCCCCCATTTTGACACTGCCATGCAGTCTGGTTAGAAAGAGTCCGAGAAGCACAAAGAGTTGCTACCAATATAGCAGGCGACTCTTCCAAATTGTATAATATGTACTTTGGGGATTTGTCTGTTTGGTTTCTTTGAAACAATTCAGCATGAGCCCCTTAAATCAGTCAATTGTCCTCTTCCCTTCCCCTTTGCCATCCCCTCCCTCCCCATGTTCAATTTAAAGCCAGAAAGACAGGATAACCCCCATGTAAGGCAGCAGAAATTCCCCATTAAGTGCCAGTTTACCAAGAGCCCATCGTCTTCTGGCAAATGTGACCAGTAACCGGTTCCATGTGTATTGGGCCCTGTTTTATTACACTTCATGCTGGAGTAAACTGGCTCAGGGCAAATTAGGTCAAAACCTCAGAGGCAGCTGCAAACACAATGCAATAACAGATACCCAGAAGGAGCCAGTCGCAAGGCACAAATTCAACCCAAGGTGCTTCCAGGCACATGCCACTAGGGGGCTTGCAGTGGACTCGCAGTTTAGCAGCTTGTATAATATGTACTTTGGGGATTTGTCTGTTTGGTTTCTTTGGTTTTGAAGTACAAGCAGTGGCACTCTCTTCACACTCCCCTCCCTCCTGCTCTGCACCTTCCTTATCATTTCAGAAGCCCCAGTCAAAAGCAAGCATGGAAACACACTGCAAGATGGAAATGTCATGGCCGGTACCATGCCTGGGGACTCTGGTTGGTGGCAAATCTGTCCCCAACAAGACCCATCCTTTCAAGTATATATCATACAGGCTGGAGAGAAGAGGGCTAACAGATCATTGTTTACTCAAGCACAGTAACAATACAGGGGCCAATTGGGGCTACTTACTGATTAAAGGAATGTAAGTGTTAATACCCCCCCTTCCTGACAGGGGCACTGCGGCGTCATTGCCCAGCGAGACATCTGCTTGAAAGCTGGACGCTAATTTAGTTTTAAAAAGAATAAAAAACGTCAAAAGGTTATAAAGAAACAGCAGACTGTGAACACAAACAAACACCACTGCAGTTAAATGGCAGAAATGGAAGTGTCTACTTAAGTTCTACCTGCGTATAACTCGGGGCCGTACACTGCTCCAACCACAGGGCTCAATTTCCAACCTGAAATAGCAAAGATGGCAATGAGTGCTGAAGTCCATACCAGGAAAAACAGTGGAAAGGGTGGGGGAGGAAAATGAGCTTTGCATGTGAAACTCAGCTTTAGGCACTTCTCCCACTATGGCTTCCACCGAGGTCCCTGTGCTTTTGAATAGAGGCAGACTATCTTTCCTAATGCCAGGGTCCAGATATAGACTATGATCCACTGCATAGTAACCTCTGGTGTAAGCTATAAGAAACAAAACTGGGCAGAATGCCAACTGCCTTATACAGATGTTCACTACAATCACCATAGTTGGCCCACAAGGTTCATTCTCTCTGTGAATCTTCCCGTCAGTTCTTACTATTCTATATGTTCATTGGGAATCTTGTAGATTCTAACTATGTCTAAACCCTGGCTCAATCTGTGATCTCAGGCAAGTCATGTTACACCCCTATGTCTCAAATACACTGGCTATGATATTTACTGGAGTGTCACTAAAGACCGCATGGCAATTGAGTTGAGATTTCCCAGGTAATTGAATCACACTCAATATGTTGCACAAAAGTATTTCAAACAAATAAGTTTGTTCATTCCACATTTTCTCTTCTCCATTTTATTTATATTTTGCTGCTTTCTCCACGTTGCATCCCCCAGATGCAATCTTTCCCAGAGAATCATTTAATATAATCTGTACAATGGGCAAGAATTGAAAATCATCAGCACAAATACACAAGAGAGCAACGGTTAAATTAGCAAATAATGAACCTGGTGAAAAACCTGCCATTGTAGAATGGATATGAACTGAGGCACTTTTCCCAAGTGAGCAGAGCTGGAAAACCTGTTTATCTCCACCCATTCTAACCAAAAAGGGAAGAGAACTGGTATTAGGGTGGACTCAGGTCTGATTTCTACAAAAAAGTCTTTACTTTTCAGGGCAGGCCTCATCTGTTTACTTGGTAACCATGCAGGTTTTACTAACAAATATCACATACCTTTCCTCCACAGGAGTCTTATGAAACTTACTACACTTTAACTACTCAGCCTCACCTTTGAGGTCTTATAAATCATCTTTCTGGTATGATTTGATCACAGAGCAACAATGTCACTACTTAATATGCTGAGGGATAATGCTGAATGATGTAATGCACACCCTCTTTGCCGCACTGGGCGTATTGCCTGTGCACTGCCAACTTTGTGAGCAAGAGACTAAGATGATGGGTGCTAAGATAAGAACGTGGATAGACAGACATGGATTTTAATTCCTAAACCTAGTCTCTCTCACATGGCAGTGAAAAGCACTAACTAGTACACTCAAACTTCCCAAATACCATACACCTTTACATTATTTTAATGTAGACTTTATGGGTTGACAAACCAAAAGGATGTTCCTGCCAGTCACCCTGGTCTACAAGTCATTACAATGTAACCCTATACATTCTCTGTCCCTATTCACTGGGTAACACAACACGACCACTTTGCACTTCCATAGTGACTTCCCACCACAGGATTTCAAAGCTCTTTACAAACATTCATTAAGCCTCACCACACTTGGGAAACTGGCACACGCAAATTAAGTGACTTGGCCAAGGGTACATAGTAAATCTGTAGATGAGGCAAGAATAGGAGCCAGATCTTCTGATTTCCAATCTTCTGTTTTAACCACCAACCCATGCTCTCTCACGATCTACTGTATGCTTAACTTGCTACTGCACAGAAGCTGTTTGGGAACCTTTTCAATGCAACTGGGGACCATTGACTACGTCTCAGAACAACTTTGTGTACCTCAGTCTGTCCCAGGACAACTTCGTAAACTCCACGTTTCATTTCACTGGGGGGTGAGATTTAAAATATACAGCATCCTGTATAATGGTGCTCAGTTCTCATAAGGGAAAGCCTCTTCACGTAACGTGCACTGTTTAATAAGTGTATTGCTGTTTCTATACTATACTACATAGAGTTGCTGCAGAGAGATTGGTAGACAACAGACCCAAGACTTCCAATCAAGACAGAGTTCTTCACTGCACAAAACAACTGAGTCATTCCTTATTCATGTTCCTTGGAAAACTGTTGACAATAGGCAAGTTCTGTGAGAGACAAACTGTTTGGTGCCCCAGCTTTCCTGGCTCCAAGGAGAGAGTTATAGTTACAGCTAAAAGTAAGGCCAAGATTTTTTTAAAATGAGTTCCTAAAGTTGGGCTCCTAAATCCACAATTAAGCACCTAAATAAGTGGCCTGAGCTTCAAAGGCGCTGAGCAGCCCGAGATCCCACTGTAGTCAAGGAACAACGAGACCTTGTACTAAGGTCTTCAATTTGAGGCTGTAGAGTTTGTCACCACCCCTGAAAACTTTCCGTTTAGGATTAGCGCAAACATTCTCTCTTACCATTTGCATATGGCGTGACCATCTTCTTATTGGTCATCACTCGCGCTGTGGCATTATTCACCTAAAAGTAAGAAAGGGGCGGGGGAGGAGAGGGAAGGAAGCACAAGACGTTAGGGAAAATGATAACAACCTCTCCAATATCACATACCCTATACATCTTAGAGCAAAGAAATCAAACAGATACTTTTATACAAATGCAAGATATTTAAATTACTATTAGAAGTTGCCATTTAATTGTAAACATTACAGCTAACTGTGGCACTTTATGCATTTAAACAAAAGGCCAACGAGAGTAAAGTTGGGATTCTCAGACATCCTGCCACCATTAGACCACACTGGATATCTGCAGCTCACCAATTGGATGGGCAAAAAGCTTGTCCGAGGCCCACTGGAGTGGTAGGGATGGTGATCTCTGCAGCTGAGGCAGAGGACAAACAAAGCAGGTGGTGAATAAACTAGCTCCTTTTAGAAGCCCACCATTAAAATGTCGTAGACCACAAATGTCACAGACAAACAGGTCTTCGAGAAGAAAAGTAATCTGGTTTCCAGTTGTCTTGGATTTAATCTCGCTAGGCCAAGAGAGACTTTTGGAATCCTATGACACATTGGCCTTCAACCCAGTTTCAAGATGCCCTTGGGTTACTGATTTGTTTATCTCTGATTTTAAAATTCTCACAAAAATCTCTTAAAATAAAAGGCAGAGGTGTAGATGGGTCTCCTGGTTTCATTGTACCCTCCACCCTCATTACAGAGCTCCGTATAGTTCCAAGCATTCTGAGTGCTACAGCAAGTGGGTGTTACAGCAGAGGTGGTGCTGATAAAGGAAGGATGGATGGGGTTTGAAAGCCAAGTTACTGCAGCCCTGTGTCAGACACAGCCTCGGAGTTCTTGCAAGGAGGGTGAAGCTTCTTAGCAGGAATCAATGATCTGTCAAAATCTCAGGCCAGAATGGAACTGAGAGGCCAGAGGAATGAAAGAAGCCAGTCTTAAGGAGAAGTAAACCAAAAAAGAGTCTCGTCATATCCTTTGGGATTTATGGAGTGGTGAGCCTGTGCAGGCGAGGGGAGCCTGGAACCACATTTACTCTAGTTTTGGTCCAAAAACAATATAAACATTACACATTTAAAAAAGAAAGAATGGGAAACAACAATGATGAGACTGAGAGCATGCAGTTAAACACACACTGATAAAAGAAAGGGGGAAAAAAAAATTGATTGGGGGGGATGGGAGGAGAAGAGGGAGAAGAGAGGGTTTCACAGACAATCATTAAGATGGAGCGAGTGCCTGAAATCAGCTGCTACAGCAAAGTGCAACACAAGCACTTAAAGGAAAAATTGCCAGAACCAATCAGAAACCACCAGTCAGCAGAGAGACCAACAGCTGCATTTAACTGAGTAAAGAAATAAACTGGGGAAGGGGGGGGGCATAAAGAGAGAAAGAGAGAACAAACAATCACAGCTACAAACAGGTCTGGGAAAGACAGAGCAAGAGAAAGAAGGGGCAGGAGAGAAAGAGGAGGGGATGGGTGCATTAATAAAAACCAGCCAAACTGGAGTTCAGTAACTCTGAGTAAGATGTGCAAGGGGAAATCACCATGAAGTCAGTAATCAAACAGCTCAGACTGCTACAAAACGATACGTACATCCAAAGTCCAGGCGGCATTACTCAACAGCATTGAAAATAAAAGAGGGGAAAAGGGAAAGGAGGTGGGTGGGGACAACAAGTCAAATCACATTTTGTAGTGTTAATGTGAGATGGCAGATGGATTTTTTTCTTTCTTATTTAATTTTGTTTTTGTAACTTTAAGAAAAAATTTAAAAATACAAGCTTCTTCTCCAGCGCTTTTGTTTCACTTACCGCCAACTCGTACCATCGCCAGCATTGTGTATAGTTACCATGGAAAGAGTGAGTCAAGTGAAGGGCCCTAAACGCTAAACCATCGAAAAGGGAAATAAAAAAAACAAAAACAAAAAAAAAAAGCAAAATATGCAGAAATCTTACTCAAAAAGGCGGCTTTTTTTTTTTAAAATTTTTTAAAAATTAGTAATTTTTTTTTTTTTTTTTTTGTAAAGAAAGAGGGAGAAGGGGAAGGGGCCAGTTAGCCTTCAACAAGGTGGAACAGAAAATTGGTGAGCACCATGCAACGGCCTCATATGTAGCTACTTTGGCCAGCCACTTAACCCTTCTACTGAGAGCTCTCCTTACAGGAAGTTTTAAGAGTTAACTTTAATTGACTGCAGACAGATCAAGAAGGCAGCTATAGCAGCTCAATCAGTGCCTTTTCCCCTCTACCCTGCCCTCAACATCAGCTCACACTCATATGAAGGAGAACTGGCCTCTGAGGAAAGAGAGGATACTGGCTGGCCCCCTGCTTTATTGTCAGACACAGAGTTAGAAATCAGACAGTACTTTTTGAGTTACTTTTGTTCAGGCCTGATAACAAACAGGAAATCGGAGCCTCACAAACTGAAGCAAAGGAAAATCAAGACAGCAGAAGGGCAAAAATTTGGAGTGGGTGGGAAACAAACTTAAAAAAAAAAGAAAGAAAGAAAGAAAAAGAAAAATACTCAAATCAACCAAAGATATTTTTTGGGAGGGGTTGTCACTTTTGTACACTTCAGTGCAGTGGCGTGAAGGACACGGAGACACAAACACACGCACACACAAGACAGGGATCCAAATGTGAAATAAGTGAGGCAAGACACAAAAAAGAAATAAAAAGAATAAATATAAAGAAGAAATTGAATTACTGAAGACATGCACCTCGATTTTACGGCCCTCTACCACGGTGCCGTGTAATTTCTCCCTGGCCCTGTCTGCATCAGCACTATTCTCGAAAGTTACGAACCCGAATCCCTGCATGCAGCGGGAGAAGGGGGGAAAACATGCACATCGTTATATATTGAAATACTGATCTCTAGATAAATAGAGAAAAAATATCACAGTATGAAATTGACATCAGCACAACTCAGCAATACTCTCCTAGAGTCACATAGTTGGTTCATGCATGTTTCATAAATAAAAGAAATTCAATTCAATAAAATAAAATAAAGGAATTTTAATCAGAATATTAAATAATAAATAATAATAAATAATAAATAATAATAATGAAAAGAAAATGTAAAAGCAATTGAGGCCAGACCAAAAAAGAAGTACAAAGTTACTCGAGGCAAATTTTCTTAAAGGTAAATCCTAGGCCCTATTCTATTCTGATGTAGAGAAACTGGTGAAGCCCAAGCTGGACATTTTACGCCATTGCCAATTAATGCCTGTGCTACTTTGTGGACCTTTGTATGGTATTGAAAGGCACCTGGTAGTTTCAACAGTCTCTTGCAGGAGAGAGGTGTGGTTTGAGTTAAGGATTGAGCACCAGGAATTCCTCTGTTCCGATCCTGGCTCCTACATTGACACCACTGTAGCTATGGGCAAGTCACTCTCTCTGCTTCACTTTTCCCATCTGTAAAATGGGTACAATAATAATATTTACCTACCTCATAGAACTGTTGTGAGGATTAGATGTTTGTTAAGCCCAGTGTAAGGTCTCCGGGGCAGAGATCATGTCTACCTCTATGCCTGTACAATGCCTAGGACAGGTCCCTGATGCTAAGTCGGGCTTCTAGGCGGTACCAAAATATAAACATATAAAGCACTATATATTATTGTCAGAAAAGAGTGGTGTAAAATTTTCCCTCTGTGACTGCCATATCAAATCTATACAGTATAGTAAGTCTGAACGAGATTTCTATGTGCATTAATGTCATAGGCCAAGACAGGATTTAGCTGACATCCCCTATCCCACAGCTGCCTCCCTTCTAACTCAGTTACATACCTACACCACTATCTTAACAATTCCTACTTCAAAAAGGTATCCCGGTTTCTTCTCAATTGTGTGTAGAGACAAGTGGGACCACCAGGTGGGCTTGAACTCTGAAGCTGGAGAAGAATGGTTTCCCATTGACCTGTGAGCAGGGGTGCTGGAACAATTTGTATAGTGGGGACGCTGAGAGCCACTGAACCAAAGTAAACCCTGTAGATGATGGAAACCACTTCAAGCCAGCACCTATGCCTATTAGGGTAACTATGGTGGCCCAAGGGCTATTGTAACATCTCCTTACATGCAAAGCCCTAGGCTTACTTACAGAATCTCTTTCCTAAGAAGTCTCCACTCATGCAGGTTCATTCAATCATAAAACAGTGCAGTGTATGACATCACACTGACTCCCATGGGGATGAACTGCACTGTCACACGGATGGACTGACGAGACTAAGGACTGGTCCACACTAAGCCCCCAGTTCGAACTAAGATACGCAACTTCAGCTACGTGAATAATGTAGCTGAAGTCGAAGTATCTTAGTTCGAACTTAAAGGTACTTACCGCGGGTCCACACGCGGCAGGCAGGCTCCCCCATCGACTCTGCCTACTCCTCTCGCGGAGCAGGATTAACGGCGTCGATGGCGAGCACTTCCGGGATCGATTTATCGCGTCTAGACAAGACGCGATAAATCGATCCCAGAAGATCGATTGCTTGCCGGCGAACCAGCGGGTAAGTATAGACGTACCCTAAATGAACTAGGAATTTAACTAGCAGCAAATGATACATTCTAACAGACAGTTCTGTTGATTTGGACATTCTTAATATAAAAGTCTAGTGGGTCAGGGACCAAGGTGAAAATTTCAACTCAGATTGCTTTTCAGATCCTTTATGAGCAGGAGAGGGGTACCTAGTTCCTGTGGCTTGGTATAAAATGAACACCAGTTGTGTACAGACAGTAATCTGTGCTGGAACCACCCTGGGGAGCAGGGAGAACAAAGCTTGTGTTTGATGTAATGGAAACAATTATACTAAACAGAGACCCAGATAATGTGAGTGATGTAAGACTATGCCTCTGCAGGGAAAAGGCATCTTGGCTCTGCAGCCCCCTTCTTCAACAGACAGGCTGAAGTGGAGTAGCAGTATCTTGATTTCTAAACAGGCTTAATGGCAAGAGGCTAGTAGGCCATCATTTTACAAGGGCTTTTTAAGGTTTTATAATGAGAACCTTATAATGTTTGAGCCATTTGCCATTCCGGTAGCCTTGTGCACAGTAGCCCTTATCCTTCACAACTGGGTTTCCAGTACAAAATCCTTTTACATTTGTAAAGCAGAGGGTTTTTTTGGTGGTAGTAGTTGTTTTTTTGTTTTAAGATCAAGAAAAAAAATCGTAGCTAATGATTAAATTGTAACGCTGGCTTCTGTAAGAGAATCTCATGTCTCCTCTTACCCCAGGAATCTAAACTTCCAGCCAATCACATTTTCCTGGTTACTAAAAAAATAAAACAAACTATGCGACTAACAAGTGTCTCCTTTTTCAAAGCAGTTTGAAAGTGTGTTGCTGAAATGAGTTAAAATTTGGACCACATGGTGGGCAGAATCAGGGATGACAAACTAGTCTGAATTGATAAAACCCTCTTGAACCTCAGACATGCTGGAGCTGAGCTGGCTGCCAAGTGAGGATAGACCATAGGTTGCCTTTAAAGGCAACCTGTGAAGGTGGGAAAGTTATGGTTGTGCCCCTCTGTTTCTTTATGGTGTATAAAGGCAGCCTGAAAATTTGTTGTAAAAAAATTAAAAATAAAAACTTGCTTTTTCATTAAAAACATCAGTAATTATCTGTCCTGGAAGAGTTTATGGAGAGAAGAGAATTAATGAAATTATGACATCACAAATGACATAAAACTGAGCAACAGAGGAAAAGAGATTTTTAGGGCTTGTCTATACACAAACTGGAACCAAAATAACTACACTGGTTTTACTTCACACTATTCTAGACAGTGTAATTCTGTGTGGGGACACTTATTATGGAATAAGAGTACCCTATTTCAAATGAACTTAAGTAAAAAAAATTTGAAACCAACAACTAATATCAAACTGGGGGCACTCATTCCAAAATGAATGCCCATACACAGACTTGCACTAAAATAACTAAAGGTATGAATTAAAACTGATTTAGTTATTTTGGTTCCAGTTTATGTATAGACAAGCCCTCAGACTGTATCCCTCTGTTGACACTTATTTAATTCTAATACCCAATTAACACTTTGGAGTATGGATGGTGTTAAAGATTCAACACCTATACACTCTCCATTAAAGTATGAGACCACATAATGCACATCTGAACCTTCCAACTAGTACTCCAGAGGCAACTTCTGTTGGTCCAATAAAAGATATTACCTCACCCACCTTGTCTCTCTAATACCCTGGGACCAACACGGCTACGACCATACTGCTTACAACTACTACTCCAGTAAAAGTAGACCAGACAGGACCTGACGTTACTGCTATTTCTAAGGTTTAAAAAAACAAAACAAAAAAAACTGGCAGAATTTTTATTTTCTTCATTTGTTTTAAAAATTTCCATGTGGGAGAAAAAAGGCACAAAACTGATTTTTAAACATCTTTTTTTAAAAAGGTGACCTACAAAAGAATGGAGGTTATTTTGTACCCACATTCATTTATAACAGTCTTCTCCCCCCCCCGATAATTTCTGCTCACACCCAAGACTGTCTGCTTTACAAAACAATATTTGTTTCAAGCAAAAAATATTTGCTAACCTGGATCCACAATGGGCAAAGGCTCTCCTTACCTCTGCAGGCAGAGGGCCAGATCCAGGGAGGATACAGGCCTGGGTCAAGAGAGATCTAGGGTTTTCTAAATATTACAAGTAGACTAAGTTTAATAGGACTGTTATGACTTTCCAATGTCAACCTTGCCAGTAGCTCAACGGCCAGTAGGAAATGAGATCAAGCTTAGACAGTACTGGGTACCCCCAAAGAAACCTCTCTGCAACATTTGAGCAATCTGCAACCCAACAGTACCCCTCTCTCTTTTCCCAAAGGCTTGTTTGAGGGCCCTGAAGAGACCGAGTAACTGTCACTCTTTTAGTCTGGCCTCAGATTCTGCAATAAATAACAAGCAACAGGATGAGCGGTGTAAAAAAATAGATAGATAGAGATATATAGTCTTTGAATGTTTCCATCTCTGAAGAATGAGAAAGAAAATTTACCATGTGACCGTAAAGGGAGAAATCAAAAGCAGACGGTTCTCCTGGGTGTGGCCAGAACACAGAAATTAAAACAAAACAAAAAAATAAAACAACAAAAAACAGAAAATAAAAACCAAAGGAAACTAAACCAGTCCCTTGAAATCCATGCATTGTTAACTCTTTGTTTTCCACTGTGCTTAGAACATTCACCTGAGCAGCAGTATCTTTGTCTTGTGTTGCTAGAACACAAAGCCTCAGAAGGGCATTTCCTTAATTTGCTGCTACATTCAAAAATTAATTTTTACCAAAAATAAGTTGTTTTTCTGAAAATAAACCCTCTTTATAGATACAGGCAAAACACAGAAGCATAGAGACATGGCCAGGAAAGTCCAGCAGTTCGGACTGCCTGCTTCCAAGGCTTTAGGAGAGATTAGGGGACCTTCCACCTTCCTCCATAATCCACCTGAGATGAGTGATTGGAATGCAGCAACAGAGCAGGAGATTCAGAAACAAGCACCCACTGTTTAAAGAGTGGACACACATTCCCCAAACCCTGCAGGAGGAGAACAGTAGAACTTTTGGTCACTAAGGGAAATCAAACGAAGGGCTTGTCTACAAGCAGAGTTGCACTTAGGTGCGATTTTAAATGGATTTAGTTAAACCAGTACACAAATGGCTGTGTGAACTCTTATTTTGTTTTACACCAGACTTTGTTCAGTTTGTCTCAAATTGATTATGAATTGGTATAAACTAAGCTGAAATTGGTGACCGGTAAGCCAAAATAAAAGTGCGCACACCAGGGTTTGCCTGGGTTTAAGACTGTGTGTGGACC